TTTTTGTCAACTTTAACAAAAGCTCAATTTTTGGAAACCCATATAAAATTTTTGACTTTTCCCAAGCATTTTCGAAAATTACCAAAAGAATTCCTTTGTTCATCTCGATTTCTTCCAAAAATCGTTTTGGATTCAATTTTTTTGAAAATTCTTACATTTTTTGCAGAATCGACGGAAGAAATATAGCAATTTTTGAGAAACTGTGTCAAATTTTTGACTTTTTTTTAAGCACGTTCGAGATTACCAAAAGGGATTCCTTTATTGATTTCGATCTCCAGATGTTGTTTTTGGTTGTTTTTTCGAAAATGCGTACAATTTTTCCACAATCGCCAAAAGAAATATGGTAATTTTTGAGAAATTTTGAAAATTCGAGCTCGAAACCGAGTATTTCGAAAATTTTGATCCGGAACCATGAACCTGTCATGTTTTTTTTAGCTCGTCCAAATCTATATTTCAGAATTTTTTGTCAACTTTTACGAAAGTTCAATTTTTGAAAACCCATATAAAATTTTTGACTTTTCCCAAGCATTTTCAAAAATTATCAAAAGAGACTCCTTTGTTCATCTCGATTTCCAAAAATCGTTTTGGATTCAATTTTTTTGAAAATTCTTACAATTTTTCCAGAATCGACGGAAGAAATATGGCAATTTTTGAGAACCTGTATCAAATTTTTGACTTTTTTTTAAGCACGTTCGAGATTACCAAAAGGGATTCCTTTATTGATTTCGATCTCCAGATGTTGTTTTTGGTTATTTTTTCGAAAATTCGTACAATTTTTCCACAATCGCCAAAAGAAATATGGTAATTTTTGAGAAATTTTGAAAATTCGAGCTCGAAACCGAGTATTTCGAAAATTTTGATCCGGAACCATGAACCTGTCATGTTTTTTTTAGCTCGTCCAAATCTATATTTCAGAATTTTTTGTCAACTTTTACGAAAGTTCAATTTTTGAAAACCCATATAAAATTTTTGACTTTTCCCAAGCATTTTCAAAAATTATCAAAAGAGACTCCTTTGTTCATCTCGATTTCCAAAAATCGTTTTGGATTCAATTTTTTTGAAAATTCTTACAATTTTTCCAGAATCAACGGAAGAAATATGGCAATTTTTGAGAACCTGTATCAAATTTTTGACTTTTTTTTAAGCACGTTCGAGATTACCAAAAGGGATTCCTTTATTGATTTCGATCTCCAGATGTTGTTTTTGGTTATTTTTTCGAAAATTCGTACAATTTTTCCACAATCGCCAAAAGAAATATGGTAATTTTTGAGAAATTTTGAAAATTCGAGCTCGAAACCGAGTATTTCGAAAATTTTGATCCGGAACCATGAACCTGTCATGTTTTTTTAAGCTCGTCCAAATCTATATTTCAGAATTTTTTGTCAACTTTTACGAAAGTTCAATTTTTGAAAACCCATATAAAATTTTTGACTTTTCCCAAGCATTTTTAAAAATTATCAAAAGAGACTCCTTTGTTCATCTCGATTTCCAAAAATCGTTTTGGATTCAATTTTTTTGAAAATTCTTACAATTTTTCCAGAATCGACGGAAGAAATATGGCAATTTTTGAAAACCTGTATCAAATTTTTGACTTTTTTCAAGCACGTTCGAGATTACCAAAAGGGATTCCTTTATTGATTTCGATCTCCAGATGTTGTTTTTGGTTTTATTTGGTTGAAAAGTCGTAAAATTTTTCAGCAATCGCCAAACGAAATGTAATTTTTGAACTTTGAAACCGAATGCTTCGAAAATCTTGATCTGGGACCATCTAGACCTTGTGTTTTTTGCTTGAGCTCGTCGAGATCAACATTTCAGATTTTTTTGTGGATTTTTAGTCAACTTCAACAAAAGCTAAATTTTTGAAAATCTATAAAATGTTTATGACTTTTCCCAACCGTTTTCGAAAATTAGCAAAAGGGATCTCTTTATCGATTTCGATCTCCAAATGTTGTTTTTGGTTTTATTTTCTCGAAAATTTGTACAATTTTTCCAAAGCCGCCAAAAGAAATGTAATTTTTGAGAAATTTTGAAATGTCGACTTTGAAACCGAATTTTTCGAAAATCTTGGTCTGGGACCATCAAGACCTTATGTTTTTGGATTAAGCTCATCGAGATCTACATCTCGGAATTTTTTGTTGATTTTTTGTTAACTTCAACAAAAGTTCAATTTTTGAAAATCCATATACATTTTTTGACTTTTCCCAAGCGTCTTCGAAAATTAGCAAAAGGGATCTCTTTATTGATTTCGATCTACAGATGTTATTTTTGGTTTTATTTTTTTGATATTTCGTCGAATTTTTCCACAATCGCATAAAGAAATAACTTTTTTTTAAGTCACTTTTGAGATTTTTTAGAAATTTTAGGTAGAACCCAATATTTCGTAAATTTTGCTCCGGGAGCATGAACATGTTTTTCGATTAAGCTCATCGAGATCTATATTTCAGAATTTTTTGTCAACTCTAACAAAAGCTCAATTTTTGAAAACTAAATAAATTTTGACTTTTCTTAGCATTTCCAAAAATTACCAAAAGTCATTCTTTTATTTATTTCAATCTTCAGATGTTGTTTTTGGTTTTATTTGATCGAAAATTTGTAAAATTTTTCTAGAATCGTCAAAAGAAATAGGAGTATAATTTTTGAGAAATTTTAAAAATTCGACTTGGAAACCGAATAGCAGCAAGACCTTATGTTTTTTTACTAAACTCGTCGAGATCTACATCTCAGAATTTTTTGTAGATTTTCAGCCAATTCCAACAAAAGCTCAATTTTTGAAAATCTATAAAAATTTGACTTTTCCCACGCATTTTCGAAAACTAGCAGAAGGGATCTTTTTATTGATTTCGATCTCCAAATGTTTTTTTTTTTGGTTTTATTTTTTCGAAAATTCGTACAATTTTTCCAGAGCGGCCAAAAGAAATGTAATTTTTCAGAAATTTTGAAATGTCGACTTTGGAACCGAATTTTTGAAAAATCTTGGTTTGGGACCATCAAGACCTTATGTTTTTTGATTAAGCTCATCGAGATCTACATCTCAGAATTTTTTGTCTATTTTTTGTCCATTTCAATAAAAGCTCAATAGTAGGCTATGGAATAAAATGTGACATGTTCATTTTTTTATACGGTCAACATCAACGGTAAGGTGATATTGCCAAATAATATACCCTGTACGAAAATAAAGGTGGGGCGTGTGGGGCCAGTCAATATGCTTCGGCAATCGGCATTATATTGAAATTTTATTACTAATTTGAAATTTATAATGTATAAGTCTTCCAGGGAGGGCAACCACAACTGCTAGGGGGGGCTCAGCCCCCTCTTGCCCCCCCCGTAGCTACGGGGCTGAATACAATATGGCTTGTAACCATGTTCCCCACCTCGTTATAATCGGCTCTGGGGGCAATTGTATGTTTGGAAATTTTTCCTTAAAATGTTGCACTCTTAGTGGGGCTTTAACAAAAATCTTTTTACCATTTGCCACTAATTTATTAACAGTAGGAAACTGCAAACGTATTCCTTCAGGCACTCTGTTTAAACCGTGGCCAATGCAAGTAGAGTGAATTAAATTGGGGTACAATATTTTTAGATTATTCCCTGCTTTCAACATATAACGAGCTGCATCCGAGATCATCAATAAAATTTTATTTGGCAAAAATAGTGACGTAAGACTGTCATTTACAAATCTGGTAATCGTATTGCCATTTGTTTTATCTAACATTTTCAAACTTACTACATACCTTCGACTAGGGAAATTTTCATTTAAGATTCCAACAATTAAACTTGCCACGTATCTTCCACAACTATCAGTTGTTTCATCGACAGCGAACCATAAATAATTATCTCCAATGCGATGTTTAATTTCGTTATAAACTTGCTGAAACACTGGGCCTACATAATTTTTTCGGAGAGTACTTTCAACCGGAATATGTCGATTGCAGTGTTTTTCAAGGAATTCTTCAAGAGGGCCTTTCTCCAATTTTTTTAAAAGTATATTGGACTGGATCATCATTTTACATAAATCGAAATTAAACTGAAACTGCTCATCTTTTGTGGAAGTAGATGCAACAGATTCATGTATGGTCTGCTGTTTAATTTTAGAAACTTCAAACATTTTCTTCCTTTCTACATGAAGAGTCGTTCTGACATGTTGCGTCACGTTATATTTTTTATCACTTTGAATCTAAAACAACGTACATATACAGGATTAACAAAGGAAAAAAGGTAAAAAAAAATTAGTGGGCTTACGGTTTTCACACAAGCTCTGCAGAATATTTTGTTGTTTTCTAATTTTAATTCTGGAAAATCCCTTATCTACTCATCCGGCGTCGATTTTACTTTCGGCATTCTTTTAAAATATTAGTAATATTACCAAAAAGAACTCAACATGTAACAAGGGAGAACCACGTTTAACACTGTACTACGACAGATGCGATAGACTGATGGTTGCGAAATAAACGGTTCATTTACTTAAAAGTTTCCATTAGAAAAATTTTAAGGTAGGTAGTTGGGTACAATAATCCTTTTTTCTAGAAAATCTTCAACGGTCTTGCCGCAAAATGCCGAAAAAGAACATCTGGTTTAAAGCTTTAATTCATTATCAACGGAAGTAAGGATTTAAAGTCATAAAATCTATGGAGTATTTTTCCAATCCTATAATAAAATTTTATTACCCAAACGACCGGAACCTATTCACAGAAAGGGTCTTGAGTAGGTGTACTTCAATGGTCAAGTCCAGGTAAAATGCATACGATACGATACGCCTAACTAACAAGTATTTGTCATCCCGACAAGGCCGGCATTTGAACAAAATATGCATTAAAACTCATATTCGTCGAAAAAAGCATTAAATAACCATATAAGTTTTAATATGCATAAAAAATTGAAAAAAAAACAAATAAGCATAAAAAAATGTGTCGAATGACTCCAAATTTTATCATAGTTACAGATATAAAAAAGTTTTGAAGTGCTTACATTTTTCACTAATAATAATAATAAAAATAATATACCTTGTCCTCGGCGCGAGGGAGCCCCCGGAGCCGCTGACCACACCAATACGGCGCCGAGAATGGCCATCCAGAGCATGCTTGATCCTGCAACAAATCACACGTCACTCTAGACAAATTGGAGTGGAATAGCCGACGAATTAATCCTATTCGAGGTGTCCGTGCTTAAGCAACCAGATTTATCGCCGTCCATTTTCTAATTTTTAGTACAGTTATTTAATAATTCAGTTGTCATGAGAAGCCGTTGCAGTTGCACAAGCTCTTCCGCCCGGAAAAAAATCCAGCGGATTCCCCAAACCGTAATCACGACGACACGATTTTTGCCGATACGAAGAAATCGTTTTGTTGCAATTTATGAATGGCAACTGCTGTTATTATCCGAGAATGCCTTAATGATAGTTATTACTGTTAACTAGATGAATTTATTTCGCCTCTTAAATTAATTTCGCTCCATATAAGTCGAGATGGATTAGCGGAATTTTCATGTCGGAGACGACTTTTCTTTGAAAATGCAGCGTGAATGTGAATTAACTAAAAACGACAACTTTGGCCAATTTTGCGCATTTCCGTCGCCACAACCGAAGAAAATTTATCGCCTCTTTGTTCATTAATCATCGGCCAATACGTGATAATTACACCCGATCTTACACCAGCACGACTATATCAACAAAGTCAATCTCTTTGGTTAATAGCTAATTGGCGTTCTAACTGGCTAGGCTGTCATCTGTTCGTGTTGTTACCATGCATCAAACAACAGGGGCCACGCAGAGAACAGAAAAACTCACCTCCCGTGGACTCAACATTTCCGGTGGTACTAAAAGTGAGACTTGGCACGTACTTATCTCGGTTTGCTAATCACAGTCTTGTTCGTTTCAGGTGTTTTATGGGAAGGTCGTAAGTTCGACTATTACAGTCTTGGCTTTTGATGTAACTGTGAGTAGGAAAGCGTTTAATTATGCTCCATAAAGCTGTAAATGTCATGTGTTAATGATGTGTTGGATCGGGTGCAGGTGGCGATAAGGTGAAAACAATGCACAATTGCATTTTAAACATGTTTTTTGTTTCATGTTGTGAAAAAAAGTCTACACATATTAAAACAACAAGAAAAAATGTAAGCCCGCCCACCCACCCTATCTCAATTGTGGCAAATTTTTTTATTCGACGTGAACCAAGAGGGCGGAAATTAACTGCAAAATACTTATTTATGTACAAGTAATTAAAAACATGTTATTGAGTATCGTGTCCAAAAAATACTATGCATGTTAAGAAAAAACATCAATAAATAAACCCCCCCACCCACCCCATCTCAATTGTGATAATTTTTTTTATTGAAATGAGTTCTAGAGCTCGAAATCTACAAGAAAATATATTTAGTTAGGTAGGAAAATGTCAAAAATTGGCCGAAATTTGGATAAGGGGGGACCACTGGAAAATTTCACTTTTAAAAAAGTTGTCTAAAAATTCTGAAAAAATTCAGGGACGTAGATCTCGACATGCTGATTCCAAAAATATAGCGTGTCGATGGTCACGCAGCAACATCTTAGAAAGAATCGGTACGAAATGCGAATTTTTGGAAATTTCTAAAAATTTCGATATTTCAACAGTCGATTCCGGAAAAACCGTTGGAGTTATCAAAAAACGAGACCGGAAATGAGTTCTAGAGCTCGAAATCTACAAGAAAATGTGTTTAGTTAAGTTTCGAAAATGTGAAATTTTGGCAGAAATTTAAAGAAGGGGGACCATTGGAAAAATTTCACTTTTAAAAAGTTGTCTAAAAATTGTGAAAAAATTCAGGGACGTAGATCTCGACATGCTGATTCCAAAAATATAGCGTGTCGATGGTCACGGAGCAACATTTTAGAGAGAATCGGTACCAAATGCGAATTTTTGGAAATTTCTAAAAATTCCGATATTTCAACAGTCAATTCCGGAAAAACCGTTGGAGTTATCAAAAAAACCAGACCAGAATTGAGTTCAAGAGCTCTAAATCTACGAGAAAATGTATTTAGTTAAGTTTCGAAAATGTCAAATTTTGGCAAAAATTTGAAGGGGGGACCATTGGAAAAACTTCACTTTTAAAAAAGTCGTCTAAAAATTCTGAAAAAATTCAGGGATGTAGATCACGTAACGCTGATTCCAAAAATATAGCGTGTCGATGGTCACGGAGCAACATTTTAGAAAGAATCAGTATAAAATGCGAATTTTAGGAAATTTCTAAAAATTCCGATATTTCAATAATCAATTCTGGAAAAACCGTTGAAGTTATCAGAAAAACGAAACCGGAAATGAGTTCTAGAGCTCAAAATCTACAAGAAAGAGTATTTAGTTAAGTTTCGAAAATGTCAAATTTTGGCAAAAATTTGAAGAAGGGGGGACCATTTGAAAAATTTCACTTTTACAAAAGTTGTCTAAAAATTCTGAAAAAATTCAGGGATGTAGATCACGTAACGCTGATTCCAAAAATATAGCGTGTCGATGGTCACGGAGCAACATTTTTGAAAGAATCGGTACGAAATGCGAATTTTTGGAAATTTCTAAAAATTTCGATATTTCAACAGTCGATTCCGGAAAAACCGTCGGAATTTTAAAAAAAACGACACCGGAAATGAGTTCTAGAGTTGGAAATCTACAAGAAAATGTATTTAGTTAAATTTCGAAAAAGTCAAATTTTGGCAAAAATTTGAAGAAGGGGGGACCATTGGAAAAATTTCACTTTTAAAAAAGTTGTCTAAAAATTCTGAAAAAAATCAGGGATGTAGATCACGTAACGCTGATTCCAAAAATATAGCGTGTCAATGGTCACGGAGCAACATTTTAGAAAGAATCGGTGCGAAATGCGAATTTTTGGAAATTTCTAAAAATTCCGATTTTTCAACAGTCGAGTCCGGAAAAACCGTTGGAGTTATCAAAAAAACGAGACCGGAAATGAGTTCTAGAACTCGAAATCTATAAGAAAATGTATTTAGTTATGTTTCGAAAATGTCAAATTTTGGCAGAAATTTAAAGAAGGGGGGACCTCTGGAAAAATTTCACTTTTACAAAAGTTGTCTAAAAATTCTGAAAAAATTCAGAGAAGTAGATCTCGACATGCTCATTCCAAAAATATAGCGTGTCGATGGTCACGGAGCAACATTTTAGAGAGAATCGGTACGAAATGCGAATTTTTGGAAATTTCTAAAAGATTCGATATTTCAACAGTCGATTCCGGAAAAACCGTTGGAGTTATCAAAAAAACGAGACCGGAAATGAATATTTGAGTTCGAAATCCACAAGAAAATGTATTCAGTTGAGTTTCGAAAATGTCAAATTTTTGCAAAAATTTGAAGAAAGGGGGACCATTGGAAAAATTTCACTGTTACAAAAGTTGCCTAAAAATTCTGAAAAAATTCAGGAACGTAGATCTCGACATGCTGATTCCAAAAATATAGTGTTTCGATGGTCACGGAGCAACATTTTAGAAAAAATCGGTACGAAATGCGAATTTTTGGAAATTTCTAATAATTCCGATATTTCAACAGTCGATTCCGGAAAAACCGTTGGAGTTATCAAAAAAACGAGACCGGAAATGGGTTCTAGAGCTCGAAATCTACAAGAAAATGTATTTAGTTAAGTTTCGAAAATGTCAAATTTTGACAAAAATTTGAAGAAGGGGGGACCATTGGAAAAATTTCACTTTTACAAAAGTTGTCTAAAAATTATGAAAAAATTCAGGGACGTAGATCTCGACATGCTGATTCCAAAAATATAGCGTGTCGATGGTCACGGAGCAACATTTTTGGAAGAATCAGTACGAAATTCGGATTTTTGGAAATTTCTAAAAATTCCGATATTTCAACAGTCGATTCCGGAAAAACCGTTAAAGTTATCAAAAAAACGAGACCGGAAATGAGTTCTAGAGCTCCAAATCTACAAGGAAATGGGTTTAGTTTAGTTTCGAAAATGTCAAATTTTAGCAAAAATTTGAAGAAGGGGGGACCATTGGAAAAATTTCACTTTTACAAAAGTTGTCTAAAAATTCTGAAAAAATTCAGGGATGTATATCTCGGCGTGCTGATTCCAAAAATATAGCATGTCGATGGTCACGGAGCAACATTTTAGAAAAAATCGGTACGAAATACGAATTTTTGGAAATTTCTAATAATTCCGATATTTCAACACTCGATTCCGGAAAAACCGTTGGAGTTATCAAAAAAACGAGACCCGAAATGGGTTCTAGAGCTCGAAATCTACAAGAAAATGTATTTAGTTAAGTTTCGAAAATGTCAAATTTTGGCAAAAATTTGAAGAAGGGGGGACCATTGGAAAAATTTCACTTTTACAAAAGTTGTCTAAAAATTATGAAAAAATTCAGGGACGTAGATCTCGACATGCTGATTCCAAAAATATAGCGTGTCGATGGTCACGGAGCAACATTTTTGGAAGAATCAGTACGAAATTCGGATTTTTGGAAATTTCTAAAACTTTCGATATTTCAACAGTCGATTCCGGAAAAACCGTTAAAGTTATCAAAAAAACGAGACCGGAAATGAGTTCTAGAGCTCGAAATCTACAAGGAAATGGGTTTAGTTTAGTTTCGAAAATGTCAAATTTTGGCAAAAATTTGAAGAAGGGGGGACCATTGGAAAAATTTCACTTTTACAAAAGTTGTCTAAAAATTCTGAAAAAATTCAGGGATGTATATCTGGGCGTGCTGATTCCAAAAATATAGCATGTCGATGGTCACGGAGCAACATTTTAGAAAAAATCGGTACGAAATGCGAATTTTTGGAAATTTCTAAAAATTTCGATATTTCAACAGTCGATTCCGGAAAAACAGTTGGAATTATAAAAAAAACGACACCGGAAATGAGTTCTAGAGTTGAAAATCTACAAGAAAATGTCTTTGGTTAAGTTTCGAAAACGTCAAATTTTGGCAAAAATTTGTAGAAGGGGGGACCATTGGAAAATTTTCACTTTTACAAAAATTGTCTAAAAATTCTGAAAAAATTCAGGCACGTAGATCTCGACATGCTGATTCCAAAAATGTAGCGTGTCGATGGTCACGGAGCAACATTTTTGAAAGAATCGGTACGAAATGCGGATTTTTG